ATTATTAGTAGTAGTATATAGATATATATATATATATATATATATATATATATATATATATATATATGAGAAACTCATTTTTTGATTCTTCTAGAGATCTGGAACTAAATAAGCTAAGAATTCAAAATTAAAAAAAAAACTGAGAAAAAAGAAAAACAACCTATACAGCCTATAAAGAGAGATGTTTGATGCATGTAATGAATAGGTAAAAAGTTTGAGTCCTGCAAGCATCTAATACAAAATGTTACATAATAATTAAATAAAAAATTCAGTCACAAAAAGCTATGATGTCAGATTTGGGACCATACTATTGACATTAGGAGTACAAGACAAAAATCCTGGAATCAAAGCCACAGAAAGCAAAGTCCTATTATTTTCTTTTTCTTTCATCTTAAGGGTAGTAAGTCACTAAGAACAAACAACATCACAGAAAGCAGATTTATCTTCTTGAAAGATAAGCATTGGAAGTGGGTCCAGCCTATTAAAATGCCTGCCCAATAATTGTGACATGGCCAACAGCTGTCCCTGATGCCCTCAACAATGGGTGAGAATGAAACCAAGTTTGCTTCTAGAAGAACTATTGGTGTCAAATAAAGTCTGACATCAACTGGTACAATGCATCCACACAATATCTGAGATAGTATCTCAACAAGGATATAAGAAAAGGCCAGAAGCCATAGAACATTCCCATGAGGTGTGTGTGTGTATAATTATATATATATATATATATATATATATATATATATATATATATATATATATATATATATATACACACATGATGATGATTCAATACAGAAGTTGATCCTGGGTCATGTCCTAGCACAATTATGAGAGGCAATTGTCTCATCCCATTAGTTTATAACATCCTCAAGAAGATGCTCAAAATATACAATCTTTGTGGTTGTTCACAAAGAAGGAAGTTGAAGTGCAAACAAACCAATCAGGCACAAAAATTATCCATAGGCTGTTCACATTTCTTTCACATAAAGCAACACTTTGGAAAAATTGAAGGTGCTACATGTGCCAATAATAAACTAGTAGTTCCAAAGAGCTACCTATGCATGCTAGGCTCAAATATCACATGTTAAGGACATAAGTTAAAAACTCATTAACAGATTACTTCGAATGTACTGCTATCAGATCTAAAACATCTTAAACTAAAGCCATTTGTTTCACCAATAACAATCATGAGAAATTTATATCTTGCTAACTAGAACTGGAGGTCAGAGAAGCAATCCAAATATCTGGAGCATGAGTGATCCTCATTAATCTCAACATGGTGTCCATCAGTTCTTTTAGGTGGCAAACTAAGACACAAGGTACATCCAGACACCACAACCTGTGGGTTTTAGAGACGTGCCATGACTTTGATAGGTTATTTGAGATGGAATTTGTGTGGATGTGGCAGAGCACTTAAGGTCTCTTGGCAAAGGATTTGAGAGGAAATTGTGGTTCTTTTCCAACTATATTTTCAAGTGAAGACCAACTCTGGAATAATACATTAGGGTTGTCTTTTTAGATTCCTAACACATTTCGACTTCTTTGTCATTGTTCTGTGGACACCATGGGTCTGAGGTGGTTCACCTTATCAACACATTAGCTCTCTTCTCTTTTCTCTAGGAGACAAACAGTGCATCATCAATCCTAGAGAATAAATGTTACAATCTGAGAAAAAAATTTCAATAGGGTTAACAATCTGGCTCATAACTTGGGATGTACCAGCTACAGAATTAGAAATATAAAAAACAAAGTTCAATGTCACATATGAAAATGTCTATCAAAGATACTTGATTTTAGTTACATGACCTATAGTTTTTCCTATGAACTCCTCAACTATTGATTGTTTCACTTGACCTTTCAGTCGGGCAACATTTTTCCATCTAAGCAATTATACAAGTGACATGATTTGCCTAAGACAATGAAGCTTTGACGAGGCCCAAATCAATCATCTTTTTTACTAATGTAGAGTTCCTCAGTTTCTTCTCCATTCCAAAAATCTAGTTAACTTCACTAACTTTGAAATTGATGACAGCTGCTCTTATAGACTTAGTTGGACTTTAAACATGGAAAACAAGAGTGTACCTTTACATATTGATTCCTTCTCTGAAACATGTCTATCAATAAGAGGAACACCACAGAAGTGAAAAAATATGGACAACTGAATCTAGATCAATGCGTATTAGACAATGACGGTAACTTAATGCAGACAGTAACAGAATACCTACCAACTGTTCCAGATGTTATCTTTAGAATGACCAGACAAACTGTCCTTATATTTGAGTCAGAAATCTGGTGATGCCACATTTAATTGCAGCTAAAGCTGTAGTCATGGACGGATATCATTTTGTGCATGGAGTAGGGAGGCATGACAAGTGCTAGACTGTGTTTAACACATGAAGGAATAATTTTCTGCACACAAAAAAGATGTGACCCATGCATGCCACAATTGTGACAGATATCATCTTGAGCATGGAAATTGTGACCTAAGCTTGAAGTATATCTTTATTGTAGCTCACACAGACTAAGTTGCATGACCTTTTCCAGACCAAGTTGTAGGATGAATATAATCTTGTGGATCTATGCTTTTCTAAATCTTCAGTATTATTATCTTAACTACTTTACTGATGTTATGCCTTGGCACCTTGTGGCAACTGCAAGGAAAAAACTAGTTAAGGAATTGAGAAGTTCAGGTTATGTCAGATAGGCCTGAAGGGATGCCCATGACTTAATCAGGAATATTGATCAACCAATGACACTTTATAAGACTGAATCAGGCCGAGAATGTCATAAAATCATTTGTTTTTTTGTCACTATTTTGATGGGAGACAATTACCATGATCATTTTTCTAATATTGCATGTTTAAATAGATGTAACCAATGGAAAGCATTCCTGTCCAATAAATGACTGAAGAGATAGACATACATGAAAACCCTTTTGTTTCAGTACATTTCTACTTGCATTGGCTATATGACAATCAAGCAAAAAAAAAGTGAGCTGGTATTTTCAGAGATATGTTCAAGGGTATTTAAAAGAAAGAAAGAAAAAATCCATAAATCCCAACCTTCTAGGAGATCTAAATTTAAGTGTTTAGATTGAATGGGTCCTAAAATTGGCTGAAATTGACAAAATGGAAAGGAGATGTTTTATGGAAGACCTGCACCAATATACACAACGTTGAAGTGGAGTAAAACAGAACTCTTCCACATTCAAGCATAACTTGAGGGTTTCAGCATCACTTGCTTGGGGGTTCAGGATCATCATCCACGTCATATGCTGGGTTGCATAGGCATCTGAAGAGTCTTCCAATGCCCTGAAACCAAGAATATGAAAACTCAGGAGGCTTTCTCCACATGGTATAGTATTGGCTTATCCTAAGTTTGATCATTTTTAGTAATTTGTTGAAGGTCCAATTTTTTTCTGTGACAGAGACATTGAAAGTTTAGTTATAATTGAGAGAATCATAACTAGACTGCTGCATGTTATGCTCGAAATGTGACTCCGGTCAAAATTAGGTAATAGACCCTTTTTTTTGTGAAACTAACAAAAAAAGATAACAGGTTTACCTGTGTAAGAAATGGAGTTCGATAAGGAAGCCTCCGTGGTGAATCCTCAACTGAACTAGAATCGGAACTAGTGTCATCATCTTGGACTATTTTTTCTTTTGAAGCAGGAGCAGGTAATGCATACTTTTCCTTCTTCAGGGAACTACCCTGGGCACCACAAACCAAGAATTGTGCATGAGTTAAGAGTAGTTAGCATCGAATTGCATATAAAAAATTGAAGTAAAAAACCAAAGATTTTTCTGAATGCAGACTTTTTATCATCCCAAAAATCTGACCAGTTTCTCATGTCGAAGCTCAAACAATTGGAAGGTTAACCTCCACAGACTATGCCCCCTTCGTATTTTGAGTTTAATATTTTTTGTATGAGAACTTGATGCATACATGTGCATAATCTTGTTAAACATATAGGTCAAAGGTACTTGTAGTTGTAAAATTATCTAAATGTTTTGTATTCACACTTTTATCTAGAAGATTCATGGCATCAAAACCACATGCAGTTTGAAATTTAGCTTTAAACTTTGAAGCTATGAACTTCAGTCGATGATGATCTTAAATGTGCAGCCAAAATACCAAAATGTAGAAGAGAAGCAACACAGAGTTGAATCAGAGGTTTATGGACTAAGAGCAACCAAGGCTATATCAAAACCTAAAGTAGAGGAATAAGCACCAAATCATGGCGTAATTGGAAGTTCTATGCAAAGA